TAAAGTAAAGACAAGTATAGAGAGAAACTGATATATTATTCGAACTCAAACTGATGTACATAATGAACTGAAATCTCTTCTATTTATAGAAGAAAGGAAGCTGCTCTGTAAGCTGCTACTATAAGCTGCTGTGTAAGCTGCTGCTGTGTAAGCTGTTGCTGTACCAGATATGGATAATCTTCTATTGAGAGCAATATTTATCCATAACGGAGTACTGAATGGATAAGCTTATTATACCCGGTATGGATAATCTTTTACCGGGGGTAATGTTTATCCATAACTGGGTACTGAAAAGATAAGCTTATTATACCCGGTATGGATAAACTTCTACTAGGGGTAATGTTTCTCCATAACCGGGTACCGAAGTGATAAGTTTATTTCCAATATAGTACTAAATAGATAAATATATTTACGGTGGAGTCTCATATGGATAGGCTTCTTCAGGAAGCTTATTTACAACGGAGTACTAAATGAACATCTATAATATAATATATTTATAACAATAACATGATATTTAATGGGTTTAATTTTGGAAGAAGAAAAGAGGAAAGTGTTGGTGGGACCGGCGAATTTTCCAGTAGTGGAAGAAAACTGCATTTACAGATCTGGGTTTCCTCAGTCCTCTTACTCTCACCCCCTCAATTTACGCTCCATAATGTTAGTCTTTATTTTTCTTTTTTAATATTCTTTTTTTGATTTGATTTTCTTGTGATTCTTTGAAATTTTGAGTATTGATTGAGGGTTTCTTATTTTGTTTGCAGATATTTATGTCCGGGCTCCCGAAGAGAACTTAGCGTTTCTTAGAATTAATAATATAAGTTTTTCCAATTAGGAACGGATGGTACTAAGGTATTAGTCTTTTCTTGTTTTCTGCAATTTGGAATTTTCTCTTTTGGCTGCCTTTTGATATTTATTTATTTTGTGTACATTTCAATATTAATGTACATAAAAATTTATGTAAAAATTGTACGGGTGGGCGCCCTTTAATCTGTATTCACTTTTTAATTTTTTTAAACCAATACCCAAAGTTTAGACTACTTTAGGCCTTTTTCTCCACCTTCTTCTTCTTGTGACAATGATTTTATATGGTGTTTGTAGTTTGTGATGTTAGTGATGAGCTGCTGCGGCACTTTATTTTTTACTATTGCTTAGGATTTCTTCTTCTTCTTTTTCCTAATTGCAAACTGGATTCGTTAGATTTATTGTTGTTTTGACTAATTGATGATTGAGGTTTGTTCTTGATGATATTTGGAGGTTATGTTTCAAATTTGACAATATTTTGAGTAGATTTAGGTGTTAAATCGTATAAAATTTGAAGAACAAATTTTTATTTTTGGGCAATTTGCACTTCAGACCCCTTTGGCTTTAAGTGCATAAAAACGTTGGTTGCACTTCAGGTGCATCTGAAGTGCATTATTTCACTTCAAACTTTTTGGCCTTAAGTGCATAAAAACGTTGGTTGAACTTCAAGTGCATCTGAAATGCATTTTTTTCACTTCAGACTTTTTGGCCATAAGTGTATAAAAACGTTGGTTGCACTTCAGGTGCATCTGACGTGCATTTTTTTTTTCATTTCAGACTCTTTGGCCTTAAGTGCATAAAAACGTTGGTTGCACTTCAAGTGCATTTTTTCCACTTCAGACTTTTTGGCTTTAAATGCCTAAAAACATTGGTTGCACTTCAGGTGCATCTGACGTGCATTTTTTCAGGTTCCGACTTTTTGGCCTTAAGTGCATAAAAACGTTGGTTGCACTTCAAGTGCATCTGATGTGCATTTTTTCACTTCAGAATTTTTGGCCTTAAGTGCATAAAAACATTGGTTGCACTTCAAGTGCATTTTTTCCACTTCAGACTTTTTGGCCTTAAGTGCGTAAAAACGTTGGTTGCACTTCAAGTGCATTTTTTCCACTTCAGACTTTTTGGCCTTAAGTGCGTAAAAACGTTGGTTGCACTTCAGGTGCATCTGGCGTGCATTTTTTCCATTTCAGACTTTTTGGCGTTAAGTGCATAAAAACGTTGGTTGCGCTTCAAGTGCATCTGACGTGCATTTTTTTCAATTCAGATATTTTTGGCCTTAAGTGCATAAAAACATTGGTTGCACTTCAAGTGCATTTTTTCCACTTCAGATTTTTTGGCCTTAAGTGCATATAAAAAATGTTGGTTGCACTTCAGGTGCATCTAACGTGTATTTTTTTCAATTCAGACTTTTTGGCCTTAAGTGCATAAAAACGTTGGTTGCACTTCAGGTGCATCTGACGTGCATTTTTTTTTCACTTCAAATTTTTTGGCCATAAGTGCATAAAAACGTTGGTTGCACTTCAAGTTCATTTTTTCCACCTCAAACTTTTTGGTTTTAAGTACATAAAAACGTTGGTTGCACTTCTGGTGCATCTGACGTGCATTTTTTTCACTTCAAATTTTTTGGCCTTAAGCGCATAAAAATGTTGGTTGCACTTCAGGTGCATCTGACGTGCGTTTTTTTCACTTCAAATTTTTTGGCCTTAAGTGCATAAAAACGTTGGTTGCACTTCAAGTGCATCTGAAGTGTATTTTTTCACATATGAGTTTTTGGCCTTAAGTGCATGAAACCATTGACACTTCAATACTATTTAGCCTTAAGTACACTGAAGTGCAATTTATTTGGGAGTTACTTTTTTTGGATAGGTAGATTCACTGCTATGATCAGATGGCCTTGTTGTTACTTTTACTTGTTTGTTGCATTCTTTTCACTATTATTGATACGCACACGCCTTTTAACACTAATTACGAACATCTATATACAATCTTTCAAATATAATTATTGTCACTCGTTACCATCCTCCATTGAATTTGGTGTCAAATAAACTTCTATTAGCACTTTTAGCTAAACAAAGTGAGTATTATATTATATTAAATTGGGGCAATCTAAGCAAACTTGCTCCAACGAATGGGGGAAAAAACACAATGTTTGTTTGGTATTGGCCGCTCGGCTATTTGCCTGCTTTTGCGACTTAATATTAAGCATAACACTCAATGCCTCCTAATTTCATCTTAGAATTCATCATATCTTACTTTGCTCTAAGGAAAGAAAAAAAAACCGTTACTGGATATAATTGTTGTCATTAATTAGCGTTTTGTTGTCAAAAGAAACTTTTATTAGCACTTTCAGCTAAACAAAGAGTGAAGATTATATTAATTGTCTAAACAAACTTGTTTCAATGAATGAGGAAAGAAAAACAATGTTTCAATGGGGGGGGGGGGGGGGGTGCAGGCTCGTTGATTATAAATAGAGGAGCTTAAATGCATGATTTTTCATTAGCTCACTTGTGCAGTAAGCAAAACACTCTATTCCTCTAACTGTAATCACAACATCTAGCAAAAAAATGTCCTGGCTACCTGCTTTGTCCATGTCATTTATACAAATTGGATACGCGGGTATGAACCTGCTAACCAAAATGGCTATGAACACAGACATGAACCTCTTCGTGCATATTGTGGCATATAGGCAGACATTCGCCGCACTGATAATGTGCCCTATTGCGTATTTTAGTGAAAGGCATAGTAGACCTGCCATGACGAGGTCAATACTTCTAAAAAATTTCATGTGTTCGATTTTTGGAGGGTCAATTAACCAAATTACGTATATCATTGGCCTACAAAATTGCAACACTACGGTTGCATCTGCTTTGACGAACTTAATGCCAGCATTTACATTTGTTCTTGCTGTCATTACCGGACACGAAAAGGTCCGATTTACAAGAGTAGGGATAGCCAAAATGATGGGTACGCTATTGAGTATAGGAGGTGCGATGATGCTATCGATTTACCATGGTCCAAGACTCCCCATTGGCCAGCCAAAGATTAATTGGAAACTCTTAGAAGGTATTGCGCACCACAGCAGCAGCGGCACCAACTACTTAGGCCCTCTGCTCGTCATTACCAGTGCCCTCTCTTGGTCGATATGGTCCATAATCCAAGCAAGAGTAACCAAGAGTATGCAGCTACCTATTCAAGCACAGCGTTGATGTGCTTCATGGCTAGCTGCATATGTTTGGTCTTTGGGTTCTGCTTTGACCATGACCTATCCGACTGGTCATTGAGCAGTGGCGTGAGACCTATCTCCACCATATATTCAGGAGTTTTCTGCTCAGCTCTATCATATTTCGTGATGAGTTGGTGCATCCAGAGGGAGGGGCCTTTTTTTGTGTCAATTTTCAATCCATTACCGATTATCGTAGTTGCCATACTCAACTGGCTTCTACTTGGTGAAGAGATATTCACGGGAACTATAGTGGGTTCAATGCTGATCGTTTTGGGGTTGTTTATGGTGTTGTGGGGAAACTGGGTGGAGTCAAAGCGAGCAAGGGCAATAATAAACTCGGAGCAAGATATGGCTGCGGAAGATTTGGAGTCCCAGCAAGAAAAATGACACTTAAACTTTATCAGCACTTTTTTTTGTTTCTGCTTCCCCTTGATGCTATTTGGAGTCTCATTTATGTTGTCTAATTAAATGGTGGTTGGTTCCGCGGCAAAATGGTTAAAAGAAAATAATTATCCCTCCATATTATCTATTTAAAAATGGGTTGGATAATAATTTTTTTAGAAACGGGTCAAATATGGATAAAACCATATTATTCACTTTGAAAATGGATAACCAATAGATAATTAATGGGTTCAACTTTTACATCGGTAAAGCTTCAAATTGGGGGTTCGTGAAGTTTGGGAGACTAGCAATTCGCCCAAAAATGATCATATTCAAGAAACCATGAATAATATGGATATCCATATTATCCGCACCCGTTTTTTATCCGTATTAAATATGGGTCGAGTCGGATAATTTATCCGTTTTTGCATTACTCATTTTTCACACGTCCATATCCAATCCGACCCACACCCTAGTTCCCTATTTTGTTTTAAATGCTGTGCACGGATCCCTTTCACCTAGCATCCTGCCTTGCACTTTATAAGCATAGCGAAGTTATTTCATTACATAGTTTCGCTTATTTGCTTTATTAACTTGCTTGTTTATACTTGCTAAAACTACTAGATATGGTTGCCCGTGATGCATGGGGCCAACACCAGGAATGACTTTTCAAGCAGAATCCTATTATGTTGTGTCCAATGCAGATTGCATATGCTATAAAAATTTAATACTAACCAACCATAAGTTAGTTTATGCTGAACTCAAGCAAATCCATGAAATGCAACCTGTTAATTTCGAGCAACCATTTTATGTAGCATTTGTTAATTTCATTTCAGATGACACTGAAAGCACAAGTGTTGTCTCTGCTTTTCTCAATAACTCAAACAAGACGTTGGCAAGGGGAACACAAAGTTTGAGAGGTCAAATGACTTTTAAAAAACATAATTTTAAGACCTTAACTTTTACACCTTGGCACCTTTTGAGCCCTTTCGGGTGAATTCTAACTCATTTGCGATGACAACTTTCTGTGGTTTCAGCGAAATTTTAAAACATATATTAATTTGCAGAATTCTGTAGATTTCTATTCCGGGGCAATTTGCATTTCAGATCTATTTGGCTTTAAATGCATAAAAACGTTGGTTGCACTTTAGGTGCATCTGAAGTGCATTTTTTTCACTTGGCTGCACTTCAGACCTATTTAGCCTTAAGTGCACTGAAATGCAAACTTATTTGGGAGTTTCTTTTCTTGGATAGGTAGATTAAATGCGAAGATTAGATTATTTGTTGTTGCTATTGTTTTTTTGTTGCGTCCTTTTTATTATTCTTAAGCCGAATGTCTATCGTAAACAATTTATCTACCTTCATAAGATAGGGGTATTGAAATAAGGAGGAAAATAAAGGTTTCATATATACAATCCTTCACATATATTTATTGTCACTCATTATCATCCTCCATTAAATTTGGTTTCAAATAAACTTATATTAGCACTTTTAGCTAAACAAAGTGAGTATTATATTAAATAAGGCAATCTAAGCAAATTTGCTCCAACGAATGGGGAAAAAACACAATGTTCGTTTGGTATTGGCAGCTCGGCTATTTGCATGCTTTTGCGACTTAATATTAAGCATAACTAAGGGTGGCAAACGGTTCGGGCCCGGGCCTCGTGGGCCGGTTTTATGTGGGCTCGAACTTCGTGGGTCGGGCTGAAATGGTCTCGGGCTTCGTGGACTTTTGGAGGTAATCGGACCGGGACCACGATTTTAATGGTCCCGGGCTAAGTGGCCCGGTCTCGGGCCTAAACGGGCCTAAGTGGGTCTGGCCTATTTTTTAAAAAAAAATTATCTAAGGCAATTTCTTGTAAATTATATAGCTTATATATATATATATATATATATANAACAAGAGATGTTTCGGCCCGTTTAGAAGGTTGTCTAGAAAAAGTAGGGGTAGTAACAGGGGGGTCAACCAGGGCATCATTTGGATTAGTTGGGTTAACTTCAACAACAGGACTAGTGGGTGTATCATCATCCAGTTGCGTTTCATCTAAATCTATTTCCAGCTCATCTTCTTCATTAATAGTTGGATTACCATAAAGAGAATTCATATATTCATGATCTAAGTGTTCACCACCTCCAACATTATGCACATATTGACTCTCAGTAAATTGTAATAAAGTATTATCACTATCAAGAATAGGAGCAGGTGGAAGATGGGTATGGGGTTTGGATAGGGGAGCCCGGGGAATTGGAGGATGAATAGATTGGTCACTAGATTCACCACTATTGGATTTTCCCTTATTTTTGCTAAATATTTTTTTTAACGAAAAATTCATCTTAATTAATCAAACAATACAAAAGTAAATAAAACAAAACAAAACTATAATATTAAAACTAAAGAGTTGGAACGAGTTTATCGAATTGACGAACAACTTATTGAAAATTATTTATCATTGAAGACTTGAATACTTCAATTCACCAACTTCACAATTTTTCACAAAAGTTGCAACAATAAAGTAACAAATTTTAGAAGAAAATTAGAGAGAGATTGAGAGATATTGATGATTTTGTGAAGAAAAATGAAAGAATGAGGGGTTATTTATAGTTAAAATTAGGGAATAAGTGTAATTATAAAAAGTTTGGGGTTAAAACAAAGTTTGGGGGTTAAATGGCTATTTTATAAATAGCCAATGACTATTTTGACAGAAATAACGGCTAGATTTTAAATGGGTAACGGTCAGATTTTTTTGTGGCAATTTTTTTTTTTTTTAAAATGTAGTCGTTGGACCCGTTTAAGACCGTTTGGGACCATTTAGGACCGGTTGAACCGGCCCACTTAGGACCCGGGCCCAAACGGTCCCGGTCCTAACGGTCTTCTTATATGAACCGGCCCACTTGGGCCTCAAGCCCCCCTGGTCCAAGGTTTAAACGGGTATGCCCGTTTAGGCCTACTACCCATATGAGCTCGCGGGCCTGGGCTGGGCCCGGGCCTAACCGGTCCACTTGCCACCCTTAAGCATAACACTCCATGCCTCCTAATTTCACCTTAGAACTCATCATGAGCACCTCACTGGAATTCAAATTCAACACACTGAGAATATTTATAATGACCACAACCTATCATGTCTCAAAGAAAAGGAGACTAAACGAAATTTTTGTAACCAAGAGCTAACAGTGAGCACTATTCTTGTTCCTCATTCGGAAGCTTAATCCATTTCATTAAAGATTAGATGTTAAATATTGCACAGAACAAAAGTAGCAGTTTCTTGCTTGGTGCTACTAGTTATAGCTAAGTAATGAAATGTTAGTCATGAAACAGGAGGTCTTTAGAACGTTTGTAAAATGTTGCCCTGTTAATCTCTTTACGGGTAGTGTTTTCAACATGCCAACATTGATGAACAAATTTATGCATTAATATTTTCAAATTCAATACAGAGAAACTTAGTGTCACACGTGTGTCTTAGAAAATCATGTAAAGTCATTATATGATGGATGTTTAATAACGTTATGGTTTAAGACTTGAAGGAAGGTATCTGAAAGGTGTCATTGGCAACTTTGATCATTTAGCAACCTGTAATATGAATCCAATGTACAAGAAAACAGAGGATAAAACTCCATGCACCATAGAGTATTTCTTCACCATAGCTAAAGAAAGCAATGGAGGTAGTCCAAGATAAAAATATTAGAATCAAAGCAAAGAAAGTAGCACTGATTGATGGTACGCGGGGGATTGCATGCAGTTACAACTATTGATAAAGTTAGTGGTCAGAATTATTAACAGTCGAACTTCAATTTTATCCAAATTCACTTCCATTAGAATGGGATGCATAGCCTAAGTCAACTCCAGTATAAATAGATATAGATACTTATCATATGCGAAATCTCACTGTAAGGTCTTACGAATGCATCCTACCTCAGTGAAATCAACTGCAACATGTTTTCCAAATCATTGCTTATTGCCATACGTACCGAGAGTATCACTTCTTGCTTTAGTGCAAGCTATAACTCAAATAAGACTTGTATTTCTGTAGAGCAGCAAGTAATCAATCAAAAAAGCTTGTGACAAAAATCAAACTATGGTGAAACAGAGAATAGGAAAAGAAATACAACATCTCTAACCCGAAGTCACACCAAATAGCCACTGAGTTAAAAACAATGCTCGAACTAATTGAAGCACATGCATGTCAAGTTTGAGCCAACACAAATACAAGTTTTAAATAAAAATGAAAATCTTTACTCAAAAAGTAAAAATAAAAATCTCACTCAGAAAGAGGTACGAACTAAAGAAAGGAACCGAAATATGAGAGAAATTACATTTGTGAAGAAACTGAGCAACAAAAGCTAAATAGATGGAACAATAGCTATTTGTAAAGAAAAGGGAATAATAACAACAGCAGCCATGAATAAAATTGGGAAATCTGAAGAGAAGTTTAGGTCGAAAAGCTAGCTTTTGGCATGAAACATGGTTGGGAAAAGATGCATGTCTCAGACAGTCTAACTTGCAAAGAAAAGGAATACTCGCAAATGCTCTCTATATAAAGAACTACTAGAGGACACAAACCACCTATTTCTACATATATTGCAAAATTACTGCTCCATTGTTCGTATATGCTTTTTAATATTTTGTGCCTAAAATGGACAATCTGCACCGGAACTTAGCTTCTACAAAGATGCACAAGAGGTGAGTAGGGGGCCTACATTCAAGAGACTGGGATATATGCATTTTGGTGAGAGAAATTTTTAGGACAAAAAGGAGTATGTAGCTAGTCTTAAATTTCTTAGCTTACCTTTTGGAGTACGTAACAAGGCAAATGTACAAGATACTCACGATGTTGAAGCCATGACTGACTTTATTACAGAGCTTGTAACATCTTCTTTTGATGTATTCTGTACATGACAACATACTCTTGGTGCTGCTTCTTATATAAAACTTTTCCTTACTTATCAAAAAGAACTCACACATCATGATGAGAACAAAATCGTTGCCTTTTTGGCTGAGGCAGCTAATGGGCTGAAAAATATGTGAAATCCCAAGGTAGATATNTGGCGTTATTAAGGACAAAGCATATCTATAAGCGAAAAAGCAAGAAGAGACATGGATGGACTTGGACCAGAATGTTACAACTCAATCACCAAAGAAATAATGACAAATGACAATTTATTGGTCTTTTCTCAAAGAGTAAACACTAGAAGTTCTCCACTGCTAGAAAGTTTAGTCCTCCATTTTGATGATGCAACGAAGGCCTTCTCCTTTCAACATTAAATCAAAAGCCTTGTTGATTTCAGCAAATGGGAGTTTATGAGTGATGAACTTGTCCAATTCAAGTTCCTTGTTCATGTATTTTTCGACGACACAAGGAAGATCCGAACGGGGCTTGTAGTTTCCAAAGAATGTTCCCTTGAGAGTCCTTTCATTCAACAAGTTCATAGGGTGTGTCTTGAATACAGCTTCTTTATGAGGTACTCCAACAAGAACAGCCACTCCCCAACCCTGAATATTAATTACACGGCATGTAATTAATGTAGTGATAATTAAGAACATAAGCTAATTAGGTAATTTGTTGACAGAAAACACATACATCATGGACACATTCAAATGCTGAAATCATAGCGTCAATATGGCCTGTACATTCAACACTCCTGTCTACTCCGCCATCAGTCATCTCAGCAATTACCTAACAAAACAATCAAGAAAAAGTTAAATCAACTTTCACTCAACGCTGTTATTTGCAAAATAATCTATTTAGTGAAAGAAATATGTATATGTACCTCTTGAACTGGTTTACTATAATCCTTTGGATTCACAAACTCTGTCACACCAAATTTCTTAGCTGTAGAATATAGGCAAATTAAATGGATGAATGAGTTGAGGCAAGCTATGAGGATGGAATTAAAAGGATAAAGGATCAAGACTGTTGAAGATTCAAGTGAAAAATAGCAAGGCACGTGTAGGTACAACTTAATTACCTAACTCAAATCTGCTAGCATTTAAATCAACTCCAATTATCCTTGAAGCACCAGCAATTCTTGCTCCTTCTGCAGCCTGACCAAATGAGATCAAATCATTGATAAGATCCTTAAAGTAACATATGGAAAGAACAAATCATTGAAAATTAGTACTCACAGCAAGGCCTACAGCCCCCAGTCCAAATATAGCCACACTTGATCCTTTTGTTGGTTTAGCCACATTCAAAGTTGCACCAAGGCCTAGAAAAAGAATCATTTGATCAATCAACAATTGAACTCCTCAAATGAAACTACTATTTGAGATACGGTTGATAATTTCTCCTATACCTGTGGAGATTCCACAACTGAGGACACAGACTTTGTCAAGAGGAGCAAGGGGGTTGATTTTAGCAACACAACCAACATGGACCACAGTGTACTCACTAAAGGTAGAGGTCCCAACAAAATGGTAAATAGGCTTTCCATTTATGGAAAACCTTGATTCTCCATCTTGAATCATTACTCCCCTATCAGTGTTGATCCTTAAGAGGCTGCACATATTGCTTTCTTCCGATTTGCAATGAGCACAATCTTTACATTCCCCTGTAAACACAGGCAAAACATGGCCTCCTGGTGCAACTTCTGTTACTCCCTCTCCAACACTCTCCACAATCCTAAATCCAAAATATTTAAATCAAGAATACAACAGAATTCAGTACCCTTTTGGCTTTAGAAACAATCAGTGATGAGTTTAAATTAATCAATTGAAACAACAAAGTACATACCCTGCTGCTTCATGTCCAAGAATGCGAGGAAAGACTGGATTTTGGCCCTGAATCAGTCGAATGAGTTAAAAGATAGCAATCCACATTGTGATATTTGCTCAAGTTAAGAAATTTTTTCAAGAATGTAACTTGTTTTTTTTTTTACCTTTGCTTCCCAGAAGTAGACATCAGTATGACAGAGAGAAGTGTAAAGGATCT